GGCAGGAACTATATCATCTATCGTGATATAGTAAAAATATATCAGGATGTTAGATTTTCCTCATATCCCCCAGCCCTAATTTCAACTGCGTGAACCGAGGAAATTCCCACAACACCTTTAGCAGTTCAACAGTAGATCACTGTTCTACATCACAAAACCTGCATGTTTTCTGTTGTCTACAAAAAGTCCTCTTCAGACGTCAAACTGGCGACCGTAGCAAAGAAGAGCAAGAAGGCTGAGGATGAGGAGCAGCCGGCGGCCCCTGCCCCAGCAGCTGCAGCGGCAACGGTCACCGCGGCAACAGATGAAGCACCTCCGGTAGAAGCAGCAGCAGCTCCAGCTGCAACGGCAGCTCCTGCAGAGGAGGAGGAAGAAGAGGAGTACGTGGTGGAAAAGGTTCTGGACCGCCGTGTGGTGCGGGGCAAAGTCGAGTTTCTGCTGAAATGGAAAGGCTTTTCAGAGTGAGTATAACTTGCTCAAATACTGGATGCTACTTTTTGCCGTTCATAGCCGCGCTAGGTTTTTTTCAGAGACCTAGCACCTTCTTTGAGATGAAGCTCCTCCTCTGACCTGCCACCTCACAGAGCAGCCCTCCCCCACAACTCCTCCACTCAGCACCTTTAGACTAGCCAGCAGTAACTAGCAAACACCTTTTGGGACTGCTGAGTTCATTACAGCAGCTACTTCTTTGTGAAATGCTGGTAAAACATCAATAAAAGGGTAAATAGAGGAGCCATGTTGTGATGGTTTCCTGAAGGTGGAGCTTCAGAAAGAGCAGGAGTTTCTTAAAGAGACAGAGGGCTAATTTGTTGTTGTATCTTATGAAAATCATCTCAAAAACAATCAAGGATCTGAAGCCAGCAGCGCTGATGATCGTTCATGTTTTATAACTCCTTCTGTTCATGAAGCTGTTTAACGGAAGCTTCCAGTCGGCTCACTGTTTCTGTGTTACATGTGCGATGTCACATTGCCCTGGTAGAGCTTTCTCAAAGTCAGATTTTCCTGAACTTCTACCATTATATGCATTAACCTATTGAGTTAGTCATCAGGAATCTTTATTATTATGATTGAAAATGTTGAAGGATTGACTTCAACATTTTTTTCAGCATGTTTTGATGTAAACGTGCAAAAAGTGTACATTTCCGCTTGGCAGTTTTAGTAAAGTCTCTTAGATGAAATGTTCTATTTTTAAAATCTTGCTGTTTATAGATTAACACAGTTATATCAAACTACTATTGGCTGGGTTATTGGTGTCTGCCACAAACTTTCTGTAGTCATCAAAAAGTTATGTATGCTGTTTGATTTCCTGGCATGATTGCAGATTTACAAGTCTTCTGGGAGAGTGACTTGGGAATTTTGGAACGTTATTTTAGAGACATCCGTGTCTTAAGTTATTATTTCTGTATTCATCTGTTTAGCGAGGACAACACATGGGAGCCCGAAGAAAACTTGGACTGTCCTGACCTGATTGCAGAGTACATGCAGAAACACAAAGAGAGAGAGGAGAAGAAGAAGGAGAGTAAGAGGAAAGCTTCCAGCGAGGCATCTGGAGATGCAGAGGAGCGGGCCAGCAAGAAGAAAAAGGAGGAGGTAATTTATTTATTGGCTCCAGAGCTAGATGGCACCTGCTGTTTAGGTTCTGTAAGTTGCCATTTCATCCCTTTAGTCTACAGCTTATGCTTTTGTTTTTCTTATCTCTGTTGTACATTTAATCTAGTATGTCGGTCCTTGGACAGTTTCCCAGGATTTTTACCTCAGAGACCGTCAAACTCAAGGCCCGGGGGCCAAATCTGGCCCTCTGTAGCTTTTTATGTGGCCCTCTAGACTAGGCCTGTCACGATAACAAATTTTGCTGAGCGATTAATTGTCTAAGAAATTATTGCGATAAACGATAATATTGTTTCAAGACCTTTTGACACTGATTTAATGGAAATGACTGCAAGCTATTTCCTGCCATAAATAGATACACTTTATTTTCAAAAGAACACAACACTGGAACTAATAAACTAAACAAATAAAACAACCAA